AATTGATCAATTATAAGTCATGTTTATTTCGTTCTTGACAATGTGTTCATACAATTGATCAATTACAAGTTATGTTTCAGCACTCAAGTTCTGGACAATGTCTTCATACAGTTGATCAATTATAAGTCAAGTTCCATTCAGTTAACAAAGACCTTACTTCGTTCTTATGAACATGGTTGTTGGTTTTCCTTTTTCATTATAAACTTGACTCAGTCTTGAATAGCGATTGACTTTTGATCTATTGTTTTAGATGACAAAATAGGGTATGACCTTGCCGAGTGTTCTAATGGAACAAAGTACTTTATCCCCCTTGTAAGTGACGAACTCAAATCGAAGGTGAACATAATGTGTACCTCTTCAAAGACGCCGAAACAATGTATAGGAAGTATGTAGAGGTGGTTGGCTTTGATCGTATGGTTAAATAATAAGAAGACAAACAAATATGGTGATATACAAACAACGTGGTTTGTATGTAGAAAAGAGGGTATTCCTAAGACAGAATTTTGATTCACTTGAGCTTCATCCCATAAATAGGCAATATCGTAATTCGAATGTGGAACGATCAAGATGCAATGCATGTATTAAAATCCATTTAACCAAGGATAGGTCTCGTTACGATATATATATATATATATATATATATATATATAAATATGAGTTTGTGGATGCTCACAATCATGTCTTATTCAATTTCAATGATTGTCGATTTTCTAGGAAGGATAGGCAAATGCAATATACCAACTACAAACTCGTATTAAATAGCTTTAGTTACAAGGTTGGTGCGACGGGAGCTCCTCGTATTCAAACGGCATTGAACAGTGGGTTTGAGCATTCAGAAACCCTACTATTGACTTTCAGAATTTTAAGAGGGATGTAGTTGCATTAGTCGGTAATAAGGAAGCAAAGATGATGATAAATAAGTCGTCCGATAGTAGGGATATTGTTTCCGAGTAGTTAGACTGCGCTTTTTTGGCCTAATGAGGTGTCTCGAATCAACTACAAAGAATTTGGTGATGTTATTTATTTCGACGGAACTTTCTGAACCAATAAGTGAGTATGAATTTGAAATCAAATATTTTTTGCTGTTCACATGAATAAGATTAATTGGTTGACTATTTTAATTGTGGTTGTAGGCATGCAATGATTTTTGTTCCGTTCCTAGCTGTTGACAACCACAATCATCTGTTCATGTTGGTTCGACATTGATCAGTGGGGAGACAATTGAGAACTTCACTTGGGTATTGAGAGCATTTTTGAGATGTCATGAAAAACAACCCTCTTTCGTTATTACAGACCAATGTTCCGCCATGAAACAATCGATTCCCTTGGTGTTTACAGTGTCAAAACACCAACTGTGTATGTGGCACATAATAAAAAAAGTGCCCAGAAAGGTATATTTGGTAAACACTTACGAATTCATATCAATCTCGAACTGACACTGTTTATTCATACGTGGAGGCTTTCTAATGATTTATGTTCAGGTAAGTGTTCTATTGAACCAAGATCCTGAGTTCAACAGGGTTATAAACAAACTCATATGGAATCTCCACATCCAAAAGGAAATCAAGAAAGCCATTTTTTTTCATGTGGTTTGGAGAATGTTGAATGTCGTGGTGACGTGAAGACGTTCTTAATAAGTCATAAGAACAAGATATCCATTGCCAAAGCGAAGTACATGGTATTGTCCATGTTCTATGACCACAATTTTCATTGTTGTTTTAATATTTCATTTTATTAGTGTTTATTCTCATTTATAATGTAGGTCAATCACAATTACACTAAAACATGGTCGAATGCGAGTGCAATTTCTTCGTTTAGAACGGGTTCTTGTGTTGCCATCCATTGAAAGTGCTCATCAATGATAAAGTGGATTGCATTTCAGATAAGTATATTATGCGTCGTTGGACATGTCAGTTAGTTCCAATACAAATGCAGTCTGCCTGTGTGATATGGAGATGTGGATGTGTAGAAAGAGAAGATGTTAGTTGATGTTCATTCGAAAGTCGATGATATTGTAAGTCGTGTGTGGAACGAAAAATCTATCTTATCGAAATTGGGTGAAGTTCTTAAATTTATGACCGAGGTTGAGAGAGAAATCATGTATGATAACCCAAACCAACTGAAGTTGGATGCAATACAAGAGCATCTTCGGGTGTCAGTTCCTGATGAAGTTGACATAGTACCACCGACTCGCATCAGGAACAAGGGTTCCAGTATCGGTAAGAGATTGGTAAGTGTATCTGAGAAGATTCAGTCAAAAAGCAAAAAGCCAAAGACGAAATGTACAAAGTGTGGGCAATATACCAGACACGACGTGCGAAATTGTCCTAAAGTGCAACGTTCATGAATTTTTTATTATGCTTTCTAGTTTCCCATCATACTATATGAGTTGTTTTAACATTTCTGGGTTTCTTAAGATATGTTTCCATTTAGTGTTGGTAATGTTCAATTGATATGATGACTTTTAATTGATTACACGCATTAATTTCATGGAGGCTTAATTTTAATCTTTATGACCATTTACTTGGCTACTCAATGCCCCCTATTTTTCCACATTTATCGTTTTCATTAAATGTTTTTTGAACTTCATGAGCAACACCGAGTTTTGGCTCGAATTGCCATGAGTAACAACGGCCATTGCCCTCATGTCTGTAACAATGGTTCTACTCCTAATGGAAACCATTCTATCGCAATGAACCTTTGAACTTCTAATATGATTGATGAGTTCCTGATTGGTGTCTGGTTCCTTCTGTGTTGGGCTTAATCCTATATCGAAAATTGGGGCAGCAAAGTCAGCAAACGTAATCATGTGGGTTTCACTATTATTACCTTTCTCTTTAACCACCATAACTTCCTTATTCGATCCTTGTTCACCGGGATGCCCGATCACAACATTCTAATTACTCCATCCTTATGCTCTTTACGTGATCCAGCAATATTTCTATTCCATTGATGATGATCCCACATTGATCTTGATCCATCGATGATGATCCCACATTGAAATGATCATGTAGCGAACGAGTGTCTATACATCGAATTGGTGCGCTTCCAATCCCAGCTCCTTCTTGTTCTTTTTCTTGTCTTCGTCTAAGGAGCTCCAATGTCCTTTTTTGATAGCAATTCGTGTCAATCTATTTGAACGGCTTCAGGAGCTATTAATTAACATAGTCATTTCAGGCTTGTGATGTCACCTCTTCGCTTTTTTCTCCTAAAATCATCAAAATGTCACTTCTGTAATTGTGTTTGTCCAAATTTACATATTTGGTCCCTACAATTGTGTACCTGATTCAAAAACTTCCTTTTTTACACTTTCATCCCTCCGTAAATTGCAGACCTGCCAATTGCGAAGGGTGTGACATTTTGGTGATTTTAAGAAATAAATGATTAAAAGATGAAACCAACGTCTGAAAATGGGTATTTCAATTAAATTTACTAAAACTTGTAGTTTACTCTAAAGAAAGGTTCAAATCACATAACAAAATTATGTATTTTTATTCGATCTTTACTAATGGAAATATAGACAAAATATTGTGTGAGAATATGAGTTTACTAAAAAGCGTAAGAAATGATCTAAACTCTTGATCACTTTTAATATTACCCCCATTTCATGAATTGCGTTAATCACGGAAATTGATCTAGTACACCACATTAGTGTTGATCTTTAACTGAGATTGATACAAGAGTGGAGATCTCTCCTTATTATTTTCATCGTAACTTTCATTCTCACTAAAACCCAACCCTGAAAAAATATTTATTAAAGTAAAGATTAATAAACTTACAGTTTGGAACATATTTATTTAAAAATGTATTTTACAAAAGGGTCATTGACTTAAATGACCATTTCACACATCCAAATTGGTTTTTTAACCATTTCTCTCCCGAGAAATCCAAAATGTCACTACTACCGAATAAAGGCCAAAAAGATCAATTTCAACACAGATATGCAATTGTAATGTTCAAATCCACAATTACGACGATAAATTGGTTGAATTTGATTTCATTTATATTTTAGCTAAGTCCATAATATTTTAGACCTGTATATTAGAAAAGTGAAGACATTTAAGGGGTGTTTGGGATTGCTTATAGAAACAATTATTAACTTATTCTGATGCATGTAATAAATATTTTTGATTGTTTGGATAAAAAACTTATAACGTTAGTCAAACCAATAATAAAAAGTTTTAAAAAAAAATTAAATATTTCTAATTTATAATAATTAATAAATAAAAAAATATAAATTATTTCAAATAAACAATCCCACACACCCCTCTGCATCAACCCAAAGAAAATAATTAAGAGAAAAACCTCATTTTTAACCTATTTTTCTTTACCAAACACATAAAGTCCATCTAATTTGTAAACGAAAAGCATATTCACCAACCGGGAATTTTAATCCACGTGTGAAGTTCCATTGGTGGCACGTGGCCTGCTGTAAAATCTGATGACAACAAGAATTCAATGCATGAAACTTCAAAACAGAAACTGACACTTTTCGTTTTCACCACCACGTGTACCCAATCGCTTTTCCTGCGCGTGAACCTCTCTAATTTCACCACCTCTCTTTTTCTTTTTCTTTTTCTCTTTTCTTGGAAATTTTCGCAACCTCGTAATCCAACGTACTTCATCCCAAAAACTCCCTCATTCAACATTATTTAAATGAAACCCACATCAAATTCACTGCAAATTCAAATGAAATCCAACTCCCATTTGTAGATTCAAACCTTATATATACCCCTCCATGCTTTAATGGCGGACTTTGTATGATGATAATAATTCTATATACCAATGATGAATAGATACAGTATACTATAGTACTTATATATATATATATATATCTACCTAATTAATTTTCCTCAAGATTTCTCCGGTGATCGGAGCTGTATGGCGAAGGGCCGGAAGCTGAGTACCAGCCGGAGTGAACTTTTGCTAGGGAGCTACGGGTATGGTGGGAACACCATTCAAACGAACGTCGATGGTGATGAGCTTCGAGAAGACGACGTCTGGTCCATGGTTGATGGCATGGTCAACCGTGACTGGAACACACGCGCTGCCATGGAGATTAACTCCGTCCGACGAGGTGGTGGCGCCGGCGGAGGGTTTGAGGATGCACCTCGGAAGATGGTGTCGTCGCCGATGATAGTCCACCAGTTTGTTAGTGGGGGCAGCTTCGAATCTCCACGTGGACGTCATGTGGCCACCTCAGCGCCAGTGAATGTGCCAGACTGGTCAAAGATCTACCGAGTTGACTCTGCGGAGTCGCTGCATGACTCGGATGATATAATCGATGATCATGACTCGGACATGGTCCCACCCCACGAGTATCTGGCACGAGCATACACGCAAAGTCGTAACTCAGCTGCAAACTCGGTTTTTGTGGGTGCGGGACGAACCTTGAAAGGACGAGACCTAAGCCGAGTTCGAGATGCCGTTTGGAGCCAAACTGGATTTAATGGTTAGGCTAAAAGAATCAAATGTTGATCAATATAGTGCGTTGATCATGTTCTTTCGATTCTTAAGTCAAGTTAGATGTCCAAGTTAGTCGAGATCCAACTTTATTAGTATATGTACGTAATATGATTGATTTTTCTTGGGCAATGACTCGGGTCATGTTGAACTCAAACTCAATGAGTCAACTCAGTAACGATCGAGCCCAAGCACGGATCCCACTTGGAAACTCTACCAATTATTGTGCTTAGTCGAATTCAATGAAATTATTCATGCTTATTTGTCTTTTTATCGTTCATAGGCATTATGATTTGGAAATCTGAATGCTCTATTATTGTATTATTTTGAAACAAGGATTTTCGGTAAATGTTTCATATCAATGAAATCATAAACGGGTATTTTAGACATTTTAATTAACTCTACGTTGAATGAAATTATGTAGTAGAAGACAGATTCGAGGGTCATTTTCTTGAATTGGCTGCAATATGTGATGTCACTTCCAATATATAGAAACATACACTCGAGTGCCTTGGTCTCGTCTCTATTATTTTAACGAGTGATTTTAAATAAACGATCTTTTGTTTGCTAAAATAATTTTTTATTATCATTTTCATATTAACACATCAACATCACTTTATCTCTTCTTTATATACTTAAGGCACAAATGATCTACATTTGAACCCAAATAAAAGGTTCATTTAGCAACTCCTTGTTTTAACCATGTTTATATTAAATCATTACATTAGAAATGTTGAAATGAGGGCTTTTGATGTTGATGTGTATCATCTTGATTAACACATAGTGGTCTCACCGTTCTATTAATAGAAACTAGATTCAATATAAAACGCATATTTCACGGTTCATTATTGTTTTAGACTTTATTTATCTAAGGGGTCGTTTATTAAACGCTTACTTGGTAGTGTTTATCAGATAAATTTCCTCATCGGATGAACATAACAAGGTCCAAGAATCTTACCAGGTATGAACGATGAGAATGATGGAGAGTCTTACCTGGTAAGTGAAGATGATGACTCTTATTCAGGTAAGCGTTTACCCGGTAAATTGTTGCATTCGATACGTTTTGATATATTAAAATCTTACGCATCAAAATAAATTATAGTGTTGATTCATATCGATAAACACTTACCGAGTAAGCATTTAGGCAAACAACCCCTAAGTAAAGTATACAACACAATTGTTATAAAATTATAGTTTAAAAAAAAGTGGATCCAACAACATACAACACTGTATCTCCAAATGGGGAGGTTATTTAATTTCCCTTTCCCTCGTAGCCCAAATGCTTACACTTGTATTTATCATGTACTATAAATTTTGGTAAGGAAAAGTTGATGTCTAGAAATCAACAAATGAACATTTTTACTTGTTACAAGACTGTAAGACCACTTAACTTTATTTTTATAGTAAGCCATTTTGTCAATAAAACAGATATAATTATAATAAGATAAGTAATTTATTATTATATCAATAAAATAACATGATACAATCGTTAAAAGTAAATATTAGATTTAGATAAAAGAATAGTCATGAGGGTGTTATGGGAAAATTGAAGAAAAATTGGGTTGTGGGGGACCAAAATTCCAAGCTCAAGGGATGGAAGCCAAAATTGCTTTTAAGTGAAAGGTGATTGATTGAGTCAAGAGAGGAACAATTGGGGAGGGACCATGATCATATAATTAATTATATTATAACATAAATTTAATTAGTAACAATCATTTTTAATTTTTATATTTTCTTTTAAATAAATAATGGTATATAAGTTAAGGGTGTTAAATGTTTTTACTAGTCACATATTTAAATGACCATTTATTAGGATAAACCAAAATAATACTGTAACTTATAAATATTTTTATTAATGTTTTGTAATAATTATTAGTTGACCTTTGACTTTAAAGTTATATGATAACACCTAATTTTTCCAATTCGATGATACGATCTGTAATTAAATAGAGACCATAACTGTATTTTAGTTCAGTTACATAGTAAGGGAACCCAACAAAGTTTGGTACCTCCTATGATACTCCCAAAAAGTTCCAAGAGAGGGTTCTTAAATCTATTAATTGATACAATATGCTAAAAAGGTAAATTCTACTCATACTTTCTCTAATAAGGAGTGAGTGAGTGAGTGAGAAGGGGGGCAGTTAAGAACTAGAGATGGTGACTTGCCCCGACTCGGGGGGGACCATTTCACCCGCCACGAACGGGGATGGGGATTCCCTACTAAAACGGGTTCTGGGGTGTAACGCTCCATACCACACATTGCATGTAACACATATTTCATACAGAAGAAATACATGCTTATATACCATTCAGGTCCCTTAATACAAGAATCTATCATTACAGAATACAAAGTCCAAAAATTCAAATACATTTCTTGTACTAATCAACGATCATTAATCAAAACTGTACATCAAAGACAGATCTTCATGTAGAAGTGCATATAGGAAAATATTACATTTTCCTTTACCGTCCGTACCTCCTGCAATACATAGTTAAAATCACAAAACGAGGATTAGACCAAAAGGTCTAGTGAGTTACCCTTTTTATGTTATTGCAGGGTGGAAATCACCAAAACCTTTGTGGAAAACAAATTTTCATATATATAACAAATATATGAACAAATTAGGACATAATACTAGATCCTTTCCACTTTTCAAACTAAGCATTCAGCTATTCAAATCACATACTTTTGAACCAACCAGGTTTCATATAATGCCACTTTTAAACATTTTCTAATCAAACAAGGTTTATTTAAAGTTTCAGACCAAACCTGTTATTTTCTGCTCAATAACATCCAGACTATGATTTCCAATAAAAACCTTGATTCTAAATCTTTAAATCACAAATRAATAAAGATTCCAGACCACGGTAGTCTTGAGGGATATAATAGAAAGAGTTATATCATACAACACACATACAAATGTCACCCTTATATCAAATGTACACCTCTCCTTGATATGCCATCCTTATCCCATGGTACACCTCTCCTTGATATGYCACCCTTATTTCCTCATCAAAACATTTTACAAAAACAATTCCAAATAGACCGCAGTTAATGGAATTATTATCAATCCAAAATCATTTATATCAAAWTTTCMATTTTATGATAAAATAACAATTTTCATCAATCAAGCACAAGGCATAGTACAAATCCGGTCACCTTGGCTTGGCCGGACTTCATCTCCGGTCAAGTCTTGACCGATTTACCAAATCCGGACAATATACCGCCCAAGGCCTGTTCAATTTAACACTTGGAATCATTTCCAATACTTTTGTCCGGATAACAAGTCCGGACAATAAAGGACTCTCCGATTTAACACTTGGAATCATTTCCAATACTTTTGTCCGGATAACAAGTCCGGACAATACATCGCCTAAGACTTGTCCGATTTAAAACAATCTGATAACCACATGGTCATATTCATACTTCTTCGTTCAAAATGTTTACTATACTTAACATTCATAAATCGCTTTATGCTTGACCGGTTTAAAACTAAACCGCTTAACGCTTAACGCTTGCCCGGTTTAAGGCTTAAATCGCCCAACCCTTATCTGATTTATGGTTAAAATCGCTTATGCCTTGACCGGATTAAGGCTAATCCGCCTAACACTTGTCCGGTTTAAGACTAATCCAGACAACACATCAATGAATAACTTATAAATCAAAAGTAAAGTTCTATACTCAAATATACAATTATGAAGAGTTAAAGGTAGTAAGAATCACTCACCTTAAAAGCCTTTTGAAAATAATTGAATCTACTTTGCTTCAAAAGTATCCGGTCAACTCTTTTTCTTCCAAATCGCTCAAACTTTWTAAAATAGCAAGAAGAGGAGAAATGGAGGCTAAGCCCTCYCTTTATACCTTTCTAAAAYTAGAAGGTCGGCTAAACARCCCCCTTCCCACGTTCACCAACTTCATGCATATACATGACATGCATTCATACYYATATAMACACATGCMWYTTCACATATACATATACACACCTTATGCATGTATTTTATCATGTATAAAATTATATCCACATACTTAATGCATACTCAATATGCATATAATTTCACATACTAGCATGATTAAATATAATAATTTATCATGTTGTCAGGCAAACACATAACAAATAATCACATAATATTTACTTCAGATGATAACTAAGATCCAATTATCACATTATCCACCCCTCAAAAGAATTTCGTCCCGGAATTCCTTTAATTAAAGAGCCAAGGGCACTCTGACCTCATCTTTGACTCCAATTCCCATGTCGCTTCTGGTCCTTTGTGAAACTTCCATTGAACCTTAACCAGGCTTATCTCTTTGTTTCTCAACCCCCTGATCTTTTGGTCAATAACAGCTTCCGGTGTTTCCACAAAGTTCAGCTTACTATCTAATTTAATTTCTGGCATTGGTATAGCTAGACTCGGATCAGCAAAATATTTCCGCAGATTCGACACATGGAAAGTGTTGTGAATTAGACTCAGTTCTTCTAGCAGTTCTAACTGATATGCTACTGGCCCAATTCGCTTACATATTCTGAACGGCCCAACATACATTGGACCGAGCTTTCCTTTCTTTCCAAATCTGACAACACCCTTCCATGGCGAAACTTTTAACATCACAAAATCACCTACACAAAATTCGATCGGCTTTCAACGATTATCTGCATAACTTTTCTGGCGATCTTGTGCTGTTTTGATTCTTTCATGGATCTGTTCGATCTTTTCAGAAGTTTCTTGGACAATTTCAGGACCTGTCAGCTGTCTTTCACCCACCTCATTCCAACACAACGACATTCGACATTTACGTCCATACAATACTTCATACGGTGCCACCTGGATGCTGGAATGGTAACTATTGTTATATGCAAATTCTATCAATGGCAAGTGATCTTCCCATGATCCCCCGAAGTCAATAATACAACTTCTTAACATATCTTCGAGAGTCTGGATAGTTTTTCACTCTGCCCGTCAGTCTGCGGATGATAAGCTGTGCTTAGTCGGATTTCAGACCCCAAAGCTTTCTATAATCCTTCCCAGAACTTTGAAGTAAACCGACTATCTCTATCAGAGACAATAGATAATGGAACACCATGTCGGGTAATAATTTCTTTGATGTAAATCTGTGCTAGCTTCTCTAAAGAGTACTTCTCTCTTATTGGTAGAAAATGCGCAGATTTAGTCAGACGATCAACAATTACCCAAATTACGTCATACCCCTTTGGAGTTCGAGG